TTACGTAGTTTTTATTTTGTAAGTAGGTTGCTATGAAATTCATATTTTTCCTGCGATCCAAGGGCTCTCGTGGCATTGTGGCGTAGAAGATAATAGGCCGCACTGTTATGGTTTGAGGCGCACTTTGGTTGCTAATGAGGCTGAGGCGGGGTCGAAACTTCAGTCTTCAACATCCTGGAAGAGGATACCTTTAGGGAAGCAAGGCTATGTGAAATTTAATGAAAACGTAAGGTTTTCTCATATAAATGGGGTCGCCTGAAACGAAGAAGGACCAACAAATATCATTTATGGGATATGTTAGTATTCTAGAAAAACAACGAATAAAAAAATCCGCGGATAAGTTTAGATAAACATTTAGAGAGAATATGGTTGAAAGGATGAAGTACTGCTATGATGATCTTTACAGTAACAGTGTCAAACGAAAGGATGTATTAAAGCAAATTTGGGTAGAGCTGAATAAAGACCGTACTCACAAAGTATTTACATACGTAAGCCTAACAAGCAAAATCACAATTTTATTCATTCGTTCAGCGCATTCTAAAGTATGAAACGACATGGTGTGATGGCAGAATGAAACAAATTTAATAAATGCAAGTAAACATTGAAATTAAGCATAACGGTTTGGTTAATCTTCTATTTTAGCAATTGTATGCAAGACAAGTTTAAGGATTGTGGGTTTGCTCTGAGGCAGATGGGCAGAGAAGGGAAACAGATGGTTGCAAATTGCTTTGTCTACCGCAGGCGGGCATCGCGAATGAAAATCTGTCATTTGCTCAGAAGAAAAGTTAGGCTGAGGCTGGACGAGGTCGTCTGCTGGATTCATTCTGCTGGGTCGCTTCCTCATGAACAGACTGCACGAACTGAACACGACGAAGACGGCGGTCGGCCGTCGTGTGGTGAAGGGGCGCCCGGAGATGACTGACACCGCCTACGAGGGAGACGCTGAAGTAGGCAAAGAGTCATAATCCGATTAACCACGACCGTCAAAACAAAACACGGAGCTGCCTGACCTCAACATGGAGTTTCTACCCGCCA